GGGTGGAGGGGAGAGAAAGCCAGTCAACCAGCCTGTTTTTCCACCTGGCCCTTCAAGGGGGCGGAGTATGTTATTGATCAATCTTTATTATGTCTTACTACCCATTAAAAGCGCTACAGGATCAACTCACTGGTAAAGCCCTCGGTCTGGTTTACAAATAAAGAAACAAGCCAAAAAAATGTCCAATCCTCCAAATTACTATTTTTTTTTTTTGCAAACACCATGTTGGGACCTGCAAGAATTTTCCCACAACACTACAATTTTAAAAAAGAATAAACAGAGTGGAAAGAATTGGAAACAAGATGTTTGACAATCAAGCAATAAAAAGGATAAAAAGCTATGAAAAATTAGGTGCCAGCCAGAAAAACCCAACCAGCGGCACTAACAAAGAAAAGGGACAGGAATGCTCCAGAGGAATGGCCGGCCATCCTCGGCATGTCAAGCCAGATAATTTCAGGAATGGGTTTGATCCTGAATCATATCCCTGGTGTCCATTGAGCCCAGTACTGCCTGCCCTGACTGGCCACTGGTCCTCCCTGCTCCTATATGTTGTGGGGTTCACAAGCCTCCGTTCCCACAGAACACTGGGGGGGGCCGGGGGGGAGGCGTGTGCTTTTGAACAAGATACACCCGTTACCTTTGGCACTGAATGTTGAACTCCTCCGAGTAGGAGACAGCCCCGTTTGAGTCGGGCCCCAAGGCCTCCTGGAAAAGACGCGGGAAGAGTTACAGAGACGCCTCGGGCCGGGTGAGTCCGTTCAAATATGCCATGGGCAGCAGAGGTGAGGTTTTGATGCTCCTACTGTCGTTAGGATTGCAACGGACACCCTGCTTTCTCGTTGCATTCCTTCAAACCTGGCCACGAGGACCCAAAGGCGACCCAACCGGTGGGAACTTCCTGCCACGTTTCAAAGCTCACAAAGGATTTTTTTTTCTGGGCCAAGAAGCAAAGGGGAAAGACAGCATGGCACGGATCTCGCACGGCAGGGGAGAAGGCGCCCCCCCCCCCCGGAACAGACCCTCACGAAAAGGCCCGCTTTGGACGATTTCCCGGATTCTCCAGAAAGAAAGCCCAGCCCGCCAAAAAGACTCACCCGGCTGGCGCCGGACTCCAACAGGCTCTGCTGGATGGCAAACTGCATGATCTCGTTGTCTTCGTCTTGCACCCGGCCACTCCTGCCGTCATCCTGAACGCGGTACGATTTGGGGATCTCAAAGACAGACGGGTCGACGGCAAAGGCAGAGGCTGAAATAATCGGGAAGGGGTGTCCGGGGTAGAAAAGTCAGCCGCAAGACCCCGGATGACGGTTCACGCCCTGGGATGGAAACTAGAAGCCTGGCTGCGTTCAAAGAGGCTGGCTGTTCCTTTTAGCTTGCTGGCTTAAACCAAGGAAATCTCTTTCAACCCAAGAGCCAAATCTTTCCATTTCAGAGATGTTTTCTTTGGGGGCTCAGTTCTGGGGGTAGTCCTGGGGCCAAAGAAGGGAAAAGGACGGGGACCGATCCACCAGCGTATTCGTCCTGAAAGCTGTTCCTGGCAGGGACTCTTAAGAGGAGGCCACTGACGCTTTCTGAATGAAAGGAAAACGAAACAATTCCAGAGCCGTGGAGGCCATCAAAGTGACGTCACGGGGAAATGAATGCCAGCTCCGTGTCCTAAACTTTTGTCTTTAGCTGGTGGGTGTCGGGGAGTCACAAGACCAGCCCTGCTTGCCCGCCCCCCCACTTTCAAAATCGGGCAGCTTCCTCTCACCTGAGGATGGCCGCTGGGCCCCTTCGGGAGCCGGAGGAGACGCTTCTTCCAGGGTGCTGCAGCTGTTGACGTTTCCGAAAGTAATCCGGGCATTCAGGATGTGGAACAAGGGGATCTCTGCATTGGGGGGGGAGGGTGTGAGGGGAGGGGAGGGGTCCAAGACAAAGCAGGTTGAGAAAGCCCACTGGGTGGGAGAGGGTCAAAAGGCAGCCCTGGGGACATCTGTGGCCCCCCAACCCGGCTCATTTTAGTTTTTAAGGCCCACACTTCTCCCTGGTCCCATTGTATTTCTGGAACAAAAAAGCCACTGGGTTACAGTTCAAGAAAAGCCTCCAGAAATTAATTGTTCACCTTTTAAAAATAAATCACAGCCACCCTCTAGCACCCATGTTTTAAAACTGGGAAGGGCTTCTCTATCCCTCTGTTTATTCCTTGGCTTTTTGGGGGGACGGGCAGGCAGGAGGACTCTTTGGATGGCCTGGAGTTGGCAAAGTCGTCCACCCCATCACAGATTATTTTCACCACCCCCATTTCATTGGGAAAAGTTGTTTTCGGTTTGTTTTTGTGGGTTGTTGTTGTTGTTTTTACCAATTTTCACGGGAAAACCAGGAGGGAAGTCTAAGGTGATGAAGTCCTTGAGCCGCGCGAAATGGGCGCTCGTCCTGGCCATGAGGTCGACGATGGGGCTGACCTGCTCCACCAGCGAGAGAGGGAAGTCTTCGGACATCCACAAGTTGGCTTTGAACCTGCGGGCGGGAACAGGCGTCACGAGGAAGAGGGCGCGGGTGTGTGGCGGAAGCCCAGAGGCCTGCACCCTGATCCCAAGAAGGCTGGGTCGGGTCTCAGGATGGAAAACGTTCCCCCCCGCCTCCTCCTCCTCCTCCTCCTCTTCCTCCTCCCACGTGCTTCGAAGGAAGCCTTGCAAGTCGTCGGTCAAATGGAGGGGCACAGGAGACCCCCGGGGGCCCTTCGTAGCTTTACTTCTGAGTCCGAATGGTCACTTCTTTGGGTCTCCCGATGTCCCTGTCCTTCAGGTCAAACTGGGGGTTGAAATATTCCTCTGGGGTGATCGCCGTTGGGTTGTTGGTGGTGGCGTATTCTGTCGTGAGGTCCTGCAGGAGGAAAGGAGGAGGAAGCAGCCCAGAAGGGAAGGGAAGAGAAAAGAGAAGGGAAGGGTAGAGAGACTGAGCAACACAGGATGCTTCAGCCCTGGAGGCATAAAGGGGAAGGGGACCGACTGGGCAAGCTGCTTCCCCCCCCCCACTCTTAACACCCTCGTCCCCTTGTTATGGCAGATCGCAAGGGCTGGGGGATGATGGGAGAGGGAGGACAGGACCGCCTGGAAAAGCAACAGCTTGACAATGGCTGTGTTACGTTTCGACAAGAGTGGGTCAAAACACAGAGCCCGTGCATGACGGCGCTGCTCTGGGGAGACCAGGCAGATTTGTCTCAAAACGCTTTTTTATTCTCACCTGCTGCGCGCCGTGTTCGTGCTCGATCGTACCCAAAAAAGATTCCAAGGGGTTTCTATCGGCTGGAAGAAAGGGGAGGGGGAGAATCTATTTAAACTATTTTACCCCACTTTCTCCCTTAAACAGTCCCCTCGGTGAATGCACAGAGCATACCAAACCTCCCCCACCCTCCAGGCCAACATTTTGTCAGTGGGTGGTTTAAAAATAAAATAAAATAAAAACCCACCCCAAAAGGTCAGCCTTGTTCCCAAGCGGCTTCTGCCCAGAAGGGAAGGAGCCAGAGCAAGGGTGCAGAGCAAGGGGTGGGTATCAGGCCCTTTTCAAAGCTAGCCCCCAAAGCGACTCCCTCCTCCTCACTCACGCCAACCTTCAACCTCCATCGTTTGATGCCCTGATTTGCCCTGGATGCCCAGGGCAGAAGCCAGCAGCCTTTCGGGTGCCATAGCCAGCCATTCTCTCCCGCAGCTGCTATTTCCACCCCATCCTTCGACCTCACACAGAAAAGATGGGGGGACCAGGAGCAAGAGGGGGGCACCTCTTACCAAGGTATGTCATTTGGAAACTGTCACCCCCTCCCCCAACTGTTTTTGGAAGGATCCAGAGGGAAATAAGGCATGGAGGGAGACCCCCGCCTCGCCCCCCCCCCAGCCACGCCAGCAGTGCTGCCCCAGAGGAGTCTCGTCAACCTGAGCAGCTCCAGGGAGCCCGACCTTTGTATCGCCTCTTCTCTTCCTCGGTCAAATGCTCCGTCCGGATTTTGGTCACAACGTTCAAGTTATTGGCCGTGTAGACCTTGGGGAGAAGCAGGAAGAAGGAGCCACCGCCCGTTTCAGGCCTGCTGAACAGCAAACCCCGGCTGCCCGTCGTCGTCCCAAAAGCAGCCGATCGATCTGCTGGCACGCAGCTGGCCCCACAGGGGGAACCGTGGCTTTGACCCACCCGGGGGCGGGTGCCTTTCAGATGTGTTTCAGCTCCCATCATCCCCCCTCCCATCATCCCCCTAACAAAAGACTAACCTGCTGACTGCGCTTGGCGCGGACGTCTCTGGAGGCTGCACGTGGGCCTCGCCAGGCTGCCAGCCGGCAGGAGAAAAAGGGGCTCCCCGGGCAGAGACGAGAAGCGATCGCTCACCTTGGCTTCGTACTGGCTCACCACTTCGCTCCTCTCTGTCTTCCACACCCAGAAACCCGACGTGTTTCTGCAAGACAAAGTAGGGGATCAGAGCTTTGCTCTTTGGCTTTTACAAGGGGACTTCGAGGTGTCTGATGGCCGGGCAGAGAGGCTTCATGGGAACTACACCGCCCAGAATCCCCCACCCAGCTTCTCCTACGGTTAGAGGTGGACTTGTCCAAAGAATCCCCCTGGGGGTTCCAAAGGCCGCAATTTCAAAAAGTAGCTCGGTTGGCCTGGGGAACTGCAGTCCACATGCTCCAGAAGGCTAGCTCAGGTCCGGAGCCTTGCAGCGCCTGACCTTTCAAAGGCGATGCTGCGCGTGTCCAGGCAGGTGCTGATGATGGGGGACGTCAGCCGGCGCTCCACCTCCCGGGTCTTCGGCGTCATGGAGTCCAAGGTGAGGCGCCGGATCTGCTGTGTGATTTCCAAGTGCTCCGTCGCCACCACCTGGTCGTCGTGGTTCACCTCGATCAGCTTGGCCCAGCTCCCTGTCTCTGGAGGAACGAGAGGGACCGTCCGTGAGCTGAGAGAGATTCCGCCCCCGGGGTTCTGCAATCTGCAGAATTTTGGAAGGAAACTTCCCTCATTGGAAGCAGGAGCGGTGGATGCTGAAGACGAGCCACCCAACCCAAACGTTTCTGAGCTCAGGGCCTCGGTCGCCCCATCCGAGAGTTGGAGGAGGAACGTGGCGGCCCTTCGGAAGGGCTTCCTCGGCTCACCTTCGCCCCAGAAGATCAGGCTGCGTTTCCCTCTCCCCCAGGTCATGTTCTCAAAGCCCAGCAACGTGATGTCCACCCGTAGTTTGGCCCCGCTCTTCCAGATGCGGCAGACGTCGCTCGGGCAAACTCTGGAAACCAGCGGGACTGTCAGGAGTCAGGGGGGAAAAGCAAGAAAGCACAAGGGTGAGGCTTTGCTTTAATGAGCGAGAGGAGGAGAAGAGGCAGGTGGGAAGAAAAGAAGCCACAAGGAAGCCCCTCGGGGCCAGACTGGCGGTTCCTATCATCCCCGGACCATCCTAGTATTTCTATTTCCCCTAAGCTGAAATAGAAAATGGAAGTTAAGAAAGAAAAAAAAAAGCCTGCTTCCTAGGATCAGAGCTTGGAATGTCACTTTTTGGGTCTAGCGCCCCCCCCCCCAACAAAAGACTAATGTTTCTGAGCGCTGCCCGTGACCAGCCAGCCTGGCAAAGGGAGGGGGAAAAAAGAAAGAGAATGAGAGAAAAGGAGAGAGAGAGAGAGGGAGGGAGGGAGGGATGAGATGTAGGCAGCCTCAAAGCAGATGGAAGAAAACACCATTCCAAGCTTACCCCAACTGGTGAATTCCCACTTCATTTCCACATAAAAATCTGGAGTCTAAGGGAGGAAATGAGAAGAAAAGAGGAATCTAGCTGAGGTGTGATTCACCTTTAAATATTTTAAAACCCATGCCCCCATTGCAGTGAGATGAAACAAGAGCATCTATGGAACTCAATGCCTCAGCATTCAAATGCCAGGGGAGGGGGGAGAACTAGTTGAAGCAAAAGAGACAAGCAACACACAACCTATGTGTGGCTCCTGCCTGATTTTGGGGGCCCCAGGGCTCCCCACAGGCCCTCCGCTTTCATAATATTCTGTGCCGCTTTCCCCTTTCAGTGCAGAGCTCCTCATGTCTTGGAAAAAATTGTTTTTTTTTTAAAAAGGAAATAGGAAGTAGTTTTCTATCAATTTTTCGTTTCAGACAGCGAGGAGCTTGTAGGGGTGCAGGGACTGGACACCCAGAACTTGCCCACTCCTAACATAAAGCTACTGCCTACACTGTCATGGTTTCCGGTCTTGAGTTACAGGACTACAAAACCCCCCCCCCCCTGATTCTGTATCNNNNTCAACACCAAACTTTGGCCACACTGAGCAGGGAGGAGGAGGAAGAGGAGCCCCCGTCACTGACCAAGACATCCTAGGCGCCCTTGCTGTTTACCTCGTTGATTTTCTGGAGCAGTTCCGGGACGCCACCGAGGGTGGTGGACGCCTGATGGTAATCCCGGTGCTGAAGGATCATCTGGACCATTTCTGGATCGCCGGTGCTCACAGCCTCGTGCAAGACTGGACAGAAAAGAAGCCAAGGGAAGCAAGAGGGGAGAGATTTCAGCCATACTGGAGGGTGACCTACAGATAAGGCCCGCTGGGGGTCATTCAGAGAAGCTGAGAAGAGTGCGGTCCACGCCTCCCTTCGGATGTCTTCCACCTGTTTCTTCAATTATTTCCCACCCACTTGCTTCCCCCAATGAACCCCCCATGCGAGGTTTCTGCAATCTCTGTGCATCTGGACAACAGCTTGGGAGTAATCAATCACACGTGATTTACTTGCAAATGACAAGCGACGTATTTTTTCCCCAATATCGCACAAAGAAACCCCTTTCTGGGCAAAATAAAGAGAGTTAATTACTTTTAAAAAAAAAAAGCCACGAAACCTTCCGCGCTCGGCTTGGCCTGCCAGGGGTTTGGGGGCAGTGGTGGGACCGCCTTACCCGTCCATCCCTGGGCGTTCTCTCGGGTGACGTCCGCCTTGTGTCGAAGGAGCACCCTGGCCGACTCGAGGTATCCCAACGAAACAGCAAGGTGGAGAGCCGTTCGGCCCCGGGGGTCCCGCCGGTCGATCTCCTCCTAAGAAAAGGCCAAGCGGGACGCAGAGTGCCTGAGCGGGCTGCTCCCAGCCAGCGCCGACCCCCCCCCAGGGCGCGAGGAACCCGACAGAAAGGGCTCTGCAGGGCCCGGTGGAAGGAGGGACGGGGTTTCCAAGTGGAGGAAGCCGCCAGCATAAAAACCCTGCTCCCTTGGGGCAGCCGTCGGCAAAATGGAGGCTGACAAAGGGGAGCGGGAGGCATTTGGCGGGAGGGTTTCGTCCAGCACCTGAATCTCGAGGGCCGGCCCAGCACCGCTTGCTCAGGGACCATCTTTCTCAGCCCACCGTGGAGGTCTCAGCTGCGCCCGGAGCGCCTCCCGGCAAAGTAGGAACAAGGCTTCTCAAACCCAGCACCCCCTAGCTGGGTTACGGTAGAAGCCCTGGCATCCACAGTGCACAGTCCAGGCTGGCTGTGGATAATGGGGCTTGTAGTCCACATGCTGGGGATGCCCAGCTGCCTTATGGGCTGTGCAAAGCTCACAGTCCTCTCCTAAGCCTGCCTGCTGCTCTCCGAGCGACACCCCCCCTTAAGATCCGAGGCTGCATCAGGGACCGGATCCAGGCCCCTCTCCCGGCTCTGCCTGTGCTCGGCCGCCAAGCCCCAGCGCCCCCCCTCCACCACCGATGAATTGGCCCTTTTGAAACGGAGCGAGGCTCCAGTGCACCGTACCAGGAGTTGCCGTCACCCTGCGCAGCTACGGGACGGGATGTCATGACAAAATGCTCAACCACCCCCACCCCCACCCCACACACGCATGCGTGGGCGCACACGAGCACAAAGTGGGCGACATCCTTTACAAAGCAAACTTTGTAAACTGTTTGGCGATGCTATGGAGACAGATGGCTGCTGGAATGGCATCTCCAGATGGGACACACACACACAGAGACAGACAGACAGACAGACAGAGAGAAGACAATGAGCGTTCTTGGCAGCCTACTACGAAATGCGAACCACACAAGGCGGAGAAAAAGGAGCGCCACGAACATGCACACCGCGATCGATCGGCTCCTGACCTTACCTAGATCTTTCACTACTAGCTTTAGAAATCTGAAAGAGAAGAGCAGCTATCGCTAAGGGGGAGGGAAAAAAAGGGAAATAAATAGTCAGCCACAGGGGAGAAGAAGACCACGGTCAGGGTTTTGAACACAAACGTTGCTTCTGCTGGGCGTTACACTCAGTGCTGCGTAGGGCCGCTTTGGTCAACATGCACACACACACACACAAACACAGCGGAAGAGTCGGAGAAGTTTAAGTCATACTCTCAGGGACATCCACCGAGCGCCACCTTTTCAAAAAACAAAAGGTTTTCTATCTTTTGGATGCAGACTAATTCATCCATCATGATGCAGAGCATCCTCGTGGGCTTTTACTGGACGATACCTCCCAGCATCTGGGAGAGCGTCACCCAGCAACGTCAGGTTTCCAAAGCCTGGTTTCGATGCATGTAAACATGACTCAAACGTCACTCAGAGGGCAGCCTCAGTGAACCCAAAGGAACCTAAATGTGGAGTTTAAAACACACACACACACACACCCCGCTTGACACTGCAAAGGTCCTTTCTGAACAAAGACAGGCGAATTCCGCAAGTCCTTGCCACCTGGAGGGACGAAGGACCCATTTTGGGAAGATCTGGATGGTGCCGCGCGCCTGATTTCCGCCATAGACACCTATCAATCCCACACTAAGTGTAGGTTTGGCTTTCAGCACTCCAGCTTGCTTCCTGGGTCAGAGGAGGGCATGGTGGTGGCTCCATTTAATCGGGGAAGCCCCGTTAATCATCATCATCACTGACTGCCTGCAAGTTCAGGAGGAGCCTTGTATGCGGCACCCATTACGAAAGGAGGAAGCAAAGCAACTTCCTCGAAGGAAAAAGTGTGCCTCCCTCCCACAAAGAAGCCGGTCTTGCTGGGAGGGCCCAGAGAGAGAGAGAGAGAGAGAGCTGTACGCCGACCCTGCCAGCCAGGCAGTGCCCCCCCCCGGTAGAACAAAGCCGGGCAGCCACCCTGTTGCTTCTACGTAAAGGGCAACGGGCAGAGTAAAGGGTTTACATTACTTACTGGCTCAGCTCCAAAGGGGAAAGTGGGTTAGGGGTGCTTGAAGTTGTACTGGAAAGACCTGGGTTCAAATCCAACACCTAAAAAGCTCAGTGGGGGGGGGACCCCAGATGAGCCACTCCATAAAGGGGATGATGGGGTTTGTGCACTGCAGAGGGTTTTAGGGCCGATTTGTTGACAGGGAGCCATCCCAGCAGCCGGAGGTGGGTTTGAATCCCTGTTTCGCGCCCCCCAACCCCCTGGTCCAGCTGGCCTCTCCCCGACTGACCTACCTCGCAGGGAGGTTGTGCCTCTCCAGCAGGAAAGGAGGAAAGGCGCTCATCCACAGGCAGGCTGGTCCTCCCCACTGGCCAGG